GGCCCGAAACGATCTCTTAACACATGGATGTTCTGCTTCCTGATCACATGACGTGTGACGTATGCGGATGAAGATCGGCTTCAGAGCGTAGATGTTTGTTCTCACAACGCGGGGGCTCGTTCCGACGCCCACACAGTAAAAACATGCAAATGACGACTTTAGTCGTCATTGGCAGGGAATGAGTTTAAATGGTCATTCCCAAAGCTCACACCTCCTTTGGCCGCTCCTCATTCCAGTTTGCTGCTTCCAACGACTGGAATGAGCTGCAAAAATCACTGAAGCTCACTACCTACGTTCCATTATCTACCTTCAATAATTCATTACAATCAAAAGTTTCTGATGAATGTTCCTGCTTCTGAGTAATTAGACTGTTTTAAGTCTGTTTTGATTGCTTCTACACATTATATATGAGAAGAGTCATTTATGTCTTTACGTCTGTTTTATTGGACCTTTAACAGAAGTTACAGTGCCTGTATAAACCAAATCATGTCAGATTCTACCGATCTGTTCTGTGGGGTACCCCAAGGCTCTGTTTTGGGTCCACTGTTGTTTCTTACTGTACATACACCCTCTTGAAGAGATAATTGGGCTGTATGGTGGCGCAGTGGTTAGCACTGTTGCCTCGCAGCGCGAAGGTCACAGGGTCAAAACCCGCCTTTCTGCGTGGAGTTGCGTGTTCTCCCCAGTGGGTTTCCTCCGGGTACTCCGGTTTCCCCCACAGATCACAACATGCCCTATAGGTTAAAAAAATTGTACGTCGCTTTGGATAAAAGTGTCTGCGAAATGAATAAACATAATAATAATAATAATAATAATTGATTCTTTTCATTTTGTCTCTTATCACCTATATGCAGATGATATTCAGCTGTACTGCTTCTTTAAGGATTCTGAGTTCTATAAACTGTCTGAATTACTAGAGTGTCTATCAGCGATCACCAGCTGGCTAGAAGATAAGTTACTTCAGTTAAACTCTGAAAAGACTGAATGTCTGATCATTGCCCATGAGAGCATGGTTCCCCTGATTAGTCTAAAACTTGGTCATTTATCCTCTGCCGTCAAGACAAACTTAAGGAATTTGGGTGTTTTTGACCAATCAATGTCTCTTGAAGGTCACTTAAAAACGTTGGTCAGAAACAGTTTTAATCACTTAATAAATATCTCCAAACTGCGAAGGTTGGTGTGAAAACATGACCTAGAAATGGTTCTCCATGCCTTTATCTCCTCCCGTCTAGATTACTGTAACACACTTCACATGTTTTAACAAAAAAGCCCTTGACCGCCTTCAGTTGGTCCAGAACTCTGCAGCGAGGCTCCTAACTGGAGCAAACAGAAGAGCACACATCACTCCTGTTCTGATGTCTCTGCACTGGTTACCCTTTAACTTTAGAGTTCATTTTAGAGTCCTGACTAGAACTTTCAATGCTCTACATGGTCAAGCTCCTCCCTATATTACTGAACTGTTAAAGCCTTATGCTCCAACCCCTCAGGTCCACACACCAAAACCTTGTAGAAGTTCCAGAGACCAGATATAAAAGTCGAGGTGATCGATCCTTCCAGACCGTTGCACCCCGACTCTGGAATGATCTTCCTTCGTCCTTACGCAGCATCGACAGTCTGGACACTTTTTAAAAACAGCTGAAGACCCTTTTATTTAAAGCTGCTTTTACCTAAACATTTTATTTTCTTATTTTAACTCAAAATTTTAATCTTTCATCTGTTTATGAAATGTTATAATTACACGAGTTAAATTTTTCTGATGTTAACCTGCTTCTGTTTTGAGATCATTAAGATTTTATGACTTTGTTTTATTCTGTTTTGATCTATGTGAAGCACTTTGTGATTCCATGTCCGTGATGAGTGCTATAGAAATAAAATTTACTTACTTGTCTTATTTTGATCTGGTTTGTTTGAATGGTTCTTTGATGTAAAGCTAACTATGTCTGTTGCTGCTGCCTCTTGGCCAGATCGTCGTCATTAACGTGAATGAGTTACCACTCATCTGGTTAAACAAAGGTTAAATAAAATAAAAATAAATGAAACCTGAAGTTGGAGGAGAAGCGGGCTGATGTGATTGGAGGATTTGGCACACGTGGTGCCTACAGGGTAATAATATTAACTCACACCGCAGAGTCCTGGTTGGGATTCAAACCTTCTAGCTGTGAGGCTAACACCGTCCACCCACCGCTGGACTGATGTCTGGTGTCAGGAATAAGAGCCCAGGCATCGTTAGCAAACAGAAACCTGTTCAGGCAGAACCAGGACCTCCTGTGCTGGACCACCTGTGGACCCAGCAGAACCCTAGAGCTATCGCTGCTGCATCCTAACCATAACGTAGGAGACTAACCCTCCGCATCTGGGACTGAAGAGGACAGTAAACCTCCGCAAACTCGTCTCCAGCTCGGAGGTACCGAGCCCCAGGCTAGCCGTTAGCTCGGTGAGGACCGGGATGCTAAAGAGCTAACGTTAATCCTCCGGAGAACCGGGAGCTTACCGGAGCGGTCCGTGTGTCATCCAAACGCGGGGAATGTCAAATCATATGTTTCACACTGAAATCTTACAAGCAAACAATAAATAATGTTGACAAATAAATAAATTCCCAAATAGAGGAAAAATCCACCGCGACCGCCGTTTGGAGCTGATAAATCCTCACAAACTGGACTCCAGCGAAAGAAATGTACAAAAAAACGGTGATTTCTAAAAATCCCCTGGGCTGCTTAGAGGCAAATGTGTCTCTGAATGTTTATTTACGCAGTAAAATGTCATTCCTGTCTGCACTAAGCCTCCTGCATCCAGAAAAACCAACTTCCGGTTCAAACTATTCCACTTCCGGTCAGCCGTACAAATCAAAAGGGTCCCAAACCCCCTTTCTACGTCGCTTTAATACATCTATATCGAAAATAACATGAAAACATTTTGACGAACTCTTTATAAAGTTACAAGTTAAAAGCCAGATTATGTTGTATCATCGACACATGCGCGTGCTCACCACCCCTGATTTAACGTTACACCGTGATTAACGGGTCTGAGGGTGGGGGACAATAACGAGCCAATGAGAGGCTTGGAATCAGTGTCGCGTCTAGCCGTAACGAATCAGCGTGTAGCATCAGATTAAGGCCAGTCCTTGTTCAGTGCGAGCCAATCAGAGGCCGGTGCGTCTGCACTCGCTCGCTAAACGAAAGGCAGGAGAACCAATCAGCGTCCAGATTAGAGGACAACCTTCTGGAGCTCAATTCCAGCTAATTATAATCATATAAATGATAAATAAGGCTGTCGATGACTGAACTTGTTTAATAGTGAATTAAAAACATGATACCTTCCACAATGTCACGTTCTTATGAGCTGTAAGAGCAAAAAATCGATTTCCGTTAAGCTGGTCATGTTTGTCACTGCAACAATCCAAAACAATGACGAACGCTGTCCAGAACGTTCCACGCAAACGTTCTTCTGTAGCTTCTCCATCCATTCCAACACGGCTGAACGTGCTTCTTCACCTCTTTTACACTCTCCCTTGCATTTCTCCTCCTTCAGTGGGAGGTAGGGGGTCGGGTGGTGACTGTGTACAGCAGCCTCGCCTCCAGCTGTGGCTAGGATGTAGCTCATCACCATTAATCTAATCCAAACTGTAATACCCAAAATGCTAATGCAGCTTTGTTCCAACCATCCTCTAAACTGCAGACATGAAAACAGGTCAAAGGTGAGAGCACCTGCCCCCCCCCCCCCCCCCCCCCCCCCAGTACAAATAGCCATCATTTTGGACATTTTACATTTAAAAGCATCAACCAGGTGCACTATGTGGAGGAAAGAAATCCAGCAGAGTTAATGGTCAGGATGAACGCATCATGAAGTATCTAAACATGCTCACACCAGCCATTAGAGCAAATCAGACAGCGAAGGCCACAGTGTCTGCATGTTTTCTACGTGTCCCTGCTCAAACACACCTGATTCTATATCAAGTTGGGGTCCTTGTTTCAAAGAGTATTAAAGCCTTGATTCACCTTCTAACAAGTTTCTGTTCTTCCTGAGCTGTGGACAAGGATGGGACATTTAGCCACACGTCCTCAGCTCTGAGGAGGCAGACGGACAGAGGGAGGACCTGGGGAGGTCGGTCTGGGGATGTCATCTCCTGCATTCTAAGGACTTTTAAAAAGGTTGCTTAAATTATATTTAAATTATTGTTTTTAAATGAACGATTTAAACAAGTTCAACTAAATCAGTTATCAATGAAACAAGATCAATGTCATTGATTTGTGTGAAGCCAATGGACTCATTTCAGGAATGTGATGGAGCACAAAGCTCTGCTGCTGAAAAGAATCCTAAACTTCCAACAAAATGTTGGATGTTTATTTTAAATCTGCTGGTGACACGACCAGCAGATTTAAAATAAACATCCAACAAAATGTTGGATGTTTATTTTAAATGATGAGGCTGTGGGCGGCATGAGGATTTAATGATGCCTGGGCATCGTCGACCAACCAGCTAACTAACCCTCCCACTACGTGTCCTTTGAGGACATTTTGACTTTATGTCCTTAGAAAGACCATCCAACTCCAAAGGCAAACAAAAGCTTCCTCGTAATTTTCTACAAGTTGCATGTAGTCTGCAGTCAGCCTGGTGCGAGGCGCGTCATCATCTCCTCTTATTGCGTTTCTCCACCAGAGCTCAGCTCTCCGCCCAAATAATGAATCGCACCAAATCTGACTTGACCGATGGGGCTCTCGGAGCGGAGCGGAGACGAGCCCCTCGACTGGAGGAAGAGCTGCGTTAGTATGGGTGGTCGCGCGTCACCGGTTCCAACAGATTTATTCATGTATTGCACTGTTGGCCTCTTGTGCAATATTTCATCCCGTGTTTAACAGCCAAACTGGTTAATCTGTGAAACCCTCGCTGTCATGCAGAAACACAACACCTTTGGTCGTGTAGGTGACCCATGTCAGGTTTAAAAACGCCAACAGGGCGAGGGATTTCACGTCTGAAAGCGGCCATCACACATAATACTGAGACTCGGTGGCAGTTGTTTACTGATTATAATAAAATGTTTTCACAGACGGCAGAACAAAGGCAGAAAACATGGTTACAAAAATTGTCAATATATTAAAAGATGAATTTCCCAGGAGGCCGCTCCTCTCCTTCAGAAAGGGTAGTCCCTCCACAGGCTGCAAGACAAAAACACACCGATGAGAGGAAACGACACATGGGAACAGCTGAAGGGTTAATCAAATACAGCAGCTGGAATTAGTAGAACAGCTGCAGTGTGTGTGTGTGTGTGTGTTACCTCAGTCTGTATTCAGCGTCAGTGTGTGTTTGCAGCAGCAGGTATCTGATCTCCTCAGGTGGCTCCAGACCATGAAGCTGTGCTCTGTCCCACCTCTGCAGCCTGCTGATACCTAGAACCAAAGGGGAAGACAGGAATCCTCAGAGAGTTAGCCACAGCTCAAAGAAGCAGCTTTACTTTACAGATTTAAACTCCTGTCTTCACAACTCAGAACCATTACATCAGTCAGGGCTGTTCCTTCTTTGTTTCATTATTAAACTAAACCTTCTTCTTGTCCGTTGTCCCCCGGTCCAGCTCCCTGTCAGCCTCTGGTCCTGCCCTGGTCCTGCCCCCTGTCAGCCCCGACAGCAAATGGTCCAGCCCCCTGTCGTCCCCCGGTTCAGTTCCCTGTCAGCCCCCTATCAGCTCCCGGTCCAGCTCCCTATCAGCCTCTGGTCCAGCCCCCTGTCGGCCCCCTATCAGCCTCTGGTCCAGCCCCCTGTCGGCCCCCTATCAGCCTCTGGTCCAGCCCCACTGTCGGCCCCCTATCAGCTCCCGGTCCAGCTCCCTGCCAGCCTCTGGTCCAGCCCCCTGTCGGCCCCCTATCAGCCTCTGGTCCAGCCCCCTGTCGGCCCCCTATCAGCTCCCGGTCCAGCTCCCTGCCAGCCTCTGGTCCAGCCCCCTGTCGGCCCCCTATCAGCTCCCGGTCCAGCTCCCTGCCAGCCTCTGGTCCAGCCCCCTGTCGGCCCCATATCAGCCTCTGGTCCAGCCCCCTGTCGGCCCCCTATCAGCTCCCGGTCCAGCTCCCTGCCAGCCTCTGGTCCAGCCCCCGTCGGCCCCCTATCAGCCTCTGGTCCAGTCCCCTGTCGGCCCCCTATCAGCCTCTGGTCCAGCCCCCTGTCGGCCCCCTATCAGCCTCTGGTCCAGCCCCCTGTCGGCCCCCTATCAGCTCCCGGTCCAGCTCCCTGCCAGCCTCTGGTCCAGCCCCCGTCGGCCCCCTATCAGCCTCTGGTCCAGTCCCCTGTCGGCCCCCTATCAGCCTCTGGTCCAGTCCCCTGTCGGCCCCCTATCAGCCTCTGGTCCAGCCCCCGTCGGCCCCCTATCAGCCTCTGGTCCAGCCCCCTGTCGGCCCCCTATCAGCCTCTGGTCCAGCCCCCTGTCGGCCCCCTATCAGCCTCTGGTCCAGTCCCCTGTCGGCCCCCTATCAGCCTCTGGTCCAGCCCCCTGTCGTCCCCCTATCAGCTCCCGGTCCAGCTCCCTGCCAGCCTCTGGTCCAGCCCCCTGTCGGCCCCCTATCAGCCTCTGGTCCAGCCCCCTGTCGGCCCCCTATCAGCTCCCGGTCCAGCTTCCTGCCAGCCGCTGGTCCATTTTTAGTCCAGTACAATAGAAAATGATAAATGGTGACAGGTAAGAACAAAACGAATAAAATAAAAGCATTTAGTGGTAATTAGGTGGATGTGGTCAGACCCAAGTGTACCAGCTAAACAGCCGTAGCAGACAGGTGAATCTGAAAAAACTTCAACTACTTCAGAAAATCAAGAATTTTCCAGAAACGAGCAGAAGGATGGAAGCTAACGCCTTCACACCGGGACTCACCGAGCAGAAACTAATTGCTACAGCGACAACAGAGGATATGAAGAAATGAAATGTCTGTTCTTTCTGAGCACTGATGATGTCTGTTGTGATTTTTATTTCTTTGAAAGCTGGTTAAAATTTCAGATATAGAACATATTTAGATTTCCTTTTGACTGCTTATTCTTCAGGAAGAAGACCTAAAACAGGCAGAATTTATATTCCGATGCCTGTTTTATTGAATTCTGTTCTCCAATTCTGGGAGAATTCAGTCTAAAATAAACAGGAAGTTTAATCTCCACAGATGCGAAGAAGTGATTTATTTCTTATTTAGTGTCTGCTCTTTAAATAAAGCCCAGAACCCAAAAATGGATTTTTGTCTGCAAGAGGAACAGGACCTAGTCTGGTCCTCCCGAAGAAGCAGAAAAGGCTGGATTTTATCTTCAGCAGCGCTCAGAACCCGAGCCAGAACGTGAGCGTGTTAAACCTCCACCACTGCTGGACTGGCTTTTCAGACGGATTAACCACCCGATGGAGGCCAGGGCAGGGAGCACAACCAAAATGCTAATGGCTAGCTGAACGCTAGGTGGGTGAGAATCAGGGACGGACTGGGGCAATAATTCATCCCAGCTGGGAGTGGTGTGAGCTAGTTAACGGTTCACTAACAGCTTATCTGGGGGGTGGGGGTCACTCTGCAATCGTGGAATGGGCCGTTTGTTTCTCTTCATGCTCCACGATGCTTGATCTAGGGTTACATCATGAAATGGGCGGAGTTCACACTGATGGGGGCCGGATTGGATCAAATCCCAGTGTCTTACTTTTGGATTAACGAGACGTCTCAAGATAAAAACTTGTTTCTGAACAACTGACGTCTCCATGGGGGCCCATTGCTCTGACAGGTCTCAAATAGTACGAAACAGGCCCTCAGAAGCAGAAGTCACCATCTAGCTATGGCTTTTATGACAAAGCCAGGTGTGTGACTCACCTGTGCAGGGCCCGAACCTCCAGTCCAGGTCAAACTGTCTCAGTTTCTGTAATTCCTCTTCCCTGGTGGTCTTAAACACGTCGTCTCCTGGTGGGGGGGGGGGGGGACGACACACGGGACACTTTCTTAGTGTTTGTTACCTAATAAATCATCTTTCTTTCAATCACTGAGAGCTTCCCAAATCTTTTATCCTAACACACACACACACACACACACACACACACACACACACACACACACACACACACACACACACACACACACACACACACACACACACACACACACACACACACACACACCCCACGTTGCTCATCCTCACCTTTCTCAGGAGGAGAAGGAGCAGGAGGAGGAGCAGGAGGAGGTGTGGGGCTCTTGTTCTGTTTTCCTCCTCTCCTCGTTTTCTTCACCACCTTGAAGGAATTGGTGATCGGTCCGTGTTTGGTCGTCATGGTAACAAACCTAAGAAATACACACCAGTGCAAATAACTCAGAACAGAAAATGCTTACTTTTTTTTATATCATCATGCTCCTGCAGAGGGGAGGGAGGCACACGGACTTTGAGGTCATCGAGGTTCTTATGGGGAGGAGGACTCCTTCCTCCCACTGCCACCTGCTGGAGAGCAGAGGTCCTGCAGCAACGTGAGACGAGCATCCTTCAGTCGGGTTCACAAATGGATGCAGTGGGGTAAACATCTGCCACTTACACACCAGCATCAGCTCCACTCCGCCTGCACCGGGTTGGGAGTGTTCTCGGGACTTTCCCGCCTGCAACCGGACGTTCTGCCGGTCCTCCTCCCGAGGTGCCGTGGCCACACACAGCAACGCAGGATTAGTGTCGGAGTCTCCAAAAGCAGGCCGCTTTAGTTTTATACCACGGACTTCTCTGCATTCTTTTGCCCCGCCCACGTGCTCACGACATCACTGATATCTATTTTTCACGCTAATTTTATTGAACACCCATGTTCTGAATCCCGTCCGCATTCCTAAGCCAGTGTGGCATGAGTGCGGCCAGGCGGGGGCGGAGCCGATGCTAGTGTGTAAACCACCAAATGGTTCCCGAGCGTGGCTGTCTGCGGACGGTGGCACAGGAGCTAATTGCTCTCCATGTAATTCGGAAGGTCGCAGGTTCGAGCCCCGCTCAGTCTGTCGCTGTGTCCTTGGGCAAGACACTTAACCCCCCTTGCCTGCTGGTGGTGGTCAGAGGGACCGGTGGCGCCTGTTTGAGATAGGCCACGCCTCTGTCAGTGCGCCCCAGGGTTTAGCATGAAAGCTGAACATGAAGATCGTCTTCTACCCCACTTCCTGCACTGGCCGAGTAAATACAGATGAGGAAACTAGTGCTGCCCGGATTCGTCCATAATGCACAATGACGCCAACAAGCATTGTTCTGTTCCCCGGCTGCTCATCGCAGATCGGAGGGGGTAGGTGTAATTTCAGCTCGCCAATCAGTCCATAGTGTCACCTCGGTCCCAGTCTGACCGCTGGGGAGGTCGGAAAGAACCAAAAACACAAATCTGACCTGTGTGAAAACAATTTCTGGGGCCGTAAGGGACCGAACCGACGCTAACGTGTAAGCATAGCATAGCATTGTTTATTTATATAGCACATTTAAAATGCAGCATGGGAGCTGCCCAAAGTGCTGCACAGGCTAAAACAAAACTCACCCATTACAAGGAGCTAAAACAAAGGATAAAAATCTCAATTAAAAGCAGATAAAACATGAATAATAAGAACACATTAAAACAATGACACAATAAAACACTAAAACGAGTCACTGTCTAAAAGCCAAAGTGTAAAAGTGGGTCTTTAAACGAGATTTAAAAACCGCCAGAGACGGAGCCCGACGAACTCCAATGGGCAATGAGTTCCATAGCTTTGGGGCAGCATGCACAAATGCTCGTTCACCCCGCGATTTGAGTCTCATCCGCGGCGTGTACAGCAGCAAAAGGTCAGCCGACCTCAACGAGCGGGTGGGCACATATGGAGTGAGAAGGGCAGAGAGGTAGGGAGGTGCCAGGTCATTGAGTGCTTTAAAAACAAAAGTCAGTAACTTAAACTGCACTCTGAAAATGACAGGGAGCCAGTGAAGACGTGCCAGGACAGGGGTAATGTGGCTACGTCGGTGTGTACCCGTCAAGAACCTGGCAGCAGCGTTCTGAACAACCTGCAGCCGATTCAGGGCAGAGTCCGGAACACCAACGAGGAGGGCGTTTGCATAGTCCAGGCGAGAGGTAATGAATGCATGAATGACTGACTCCAAATGCCTCCGTTTCAGGATTCGTCTGAGGTGAGTAAGGCGGCGAAGCTGATAAAAACAAGACCTCACTACAGAGTTTATCTGTGGGGCCATTGTGAGTCCAGCATCCAGCTTGACCCCGAGACTCGTCGCACACTGTTTGGGGTTAAGGGTTAAAAGGTCACAAACAGGGTGAGAGCCATGGTGGTTGCGGGGGTCAAAAACAATAAACTCAGACTTCTTTTCATTCAGTTTTAAGAAGTTGGATGCCAGCCAGCCCTTCACGTCATCCATACATGCAGTAACGCCATAAACGGTTAACAAACGGAGAGCACATGCCTCAGTAGAACATGAACACTGGAACACGCCATGGTGGTTCCTGATGACGTATCTCCTAGGCAACTGGGGTGGGGAGGTTCCAGAGGTGTGACCAAGTCGCTGCTTTGCAAGTCACAAATGATAAATGACCTGCACTTGTATAGCGCCTCTCAGAGGAAGGACTCCAAAGCGCTTTACACTATCATTCACCCATTCACACACACATTCACACACTGATGGTGATGAGCTACGATGTAGCCACAGCTGCCCTGGGGCGCACTGACAGAGGCAAGGCTGCCGAGCACTGGCACCACCAGTCCCTCCGACCACCACCAGCAGGCAACGTGGGTTAAGTGTCTTGCCCAAGGACACAACAGCAGAGTTCTCTGTCCGGAGCTGGAATCGAACCTGCAACCTTGATTACTGGACTACCCGCTCAACCTGTTGAGCTACTGCTGCCCTATGATTCTCTGCCCACAAGTAAGTCACAAGTCTTTCCAGTCATGTCTCGAGTCAAGTCCAAGTCAAAGACAACCAAGTCCAAGTCCTTAACTTTGAATTTTCAAGTCATCTGTCCAACTTCAAATTAATGACAATGATGATAAATAAAATCCAGAAATAAAGCTTCTTTTATTTGCTCAAACAGCAGAACGTGTAACTGAAACTGTTTATAAAGATCAAACCCAGGATGAAGAATGATTCATGATTTTTGTCCATGTCGTGACACTTTGGTGCTAAAATATCAAATATGCTCAAGTCATCAAGTCAACACGTGCAAGTCGAATCAAGTCGCAAGTCACTGGCGTTCAAGTCCGAGTCAAGTTGTAAGTCTTTATAGATTTTATCAAGTCAGAAGTCATTAAAATAACGCTCGAGTCCAAGTCATGTGACTCGAGTCCACACCTCTGTGGGGTTCCTTGACATTGAGAAACACCCTAAGACCCTCTTTGGCCGTTGAGAGAGGAGAACAGCTGAAACCCCAGCATGATGGACTGTTTGGTGATCATCTCTCTGTTGTTGCTTTTGCACCTTTAAAGGCTGCGCTGCCGCAGGACCTGAGAAACAAACACGTAAACGGACTGTGTTCACACTAAATGCTTACGCGTCACGCTCCAGCTGTTAGGTTATTACTACTGTAATAACAGCTGTTTGAAAGGCTTCGTTCATGAAGCCGCTGCCAGCCCAACAACATCAGTGTTACCGAAAGACCAGCAGCACCCATGGCCTCGGTCAGGTCCGTGAACGTGACCTGTTCCCAGCAGCACGCGCCCAGACGTCAGCTGGTGCTGGCTCTTCTTACCATCACTTCCGATTCTCGTCTCACAATGTAGTGTTTAGAAATGAAAGCAGAACTTTTCACACACAGACCTCTGCCTTTACCTGTCCCGGATCACCGCAGGGTGCGCGGAGCCGAACCGCGACACGAACTAAAAACGTAGCAGACAACAGGAGGTCTGAGGAACAAAACAACAGAGAAGATTTTCTTCTTCTCCCCCTGAGCAGGTTGGTCCGCCTCTCTGCTGCCTCCTACTGGTGGCTTCTCGCAGGCTCACGCTTCCTCTGTTTCTGGGACAGCAGCGCCCTCTAGGGGACGGGTGTTTAACTGCAACTGCAGGAACTACACACACACACACACACACACACACACACACACACACACACACACACACACACACACACCAAACATAAAAACCAGCTGAACACTGATCTGTTAAAACATTATGACCACTTATTCTCCCGCCATTGAATGACTTACTGTTAGCCTGAACACACGGTGCACGGCATGGCCAATCCCGCCGTGCATCTTCCATAGCTTGGAGCAGGGGTATATCTGTGTGTGGACTTGGGTCATACCCTTTCCATCTCCACGCAGAAAAAAATTCTTGAGGAATGGAGAGGATGGACATAAACAACAATAAGGCATGGGTGGGCAGTGAACCAGTGGCAAACCAGAGCGATCAGGGAACGGATGCTCTCCCAGATGACAAGAAACCTGAGCTGCTCTGGGCCATCGATCTGATCTGGTGGAAGGAGTGTGTCTGTGGGACATCCAGGAAGGGTCACCAGTGGTTGGAAACTGTTGCTCTTGATTACGTGTTACCAAGGGCGCAAATAACAAATGTATTTTTCTGAAATATTTGTGTTTGTAAAATTGAAGTTAAATGTTTTGGATACGTACTGATTTTAAAATAAAAACGAATAAAGGAGCAATGCAATATATCACCACAGGCTAAACGCTCCCAGAGTTACCAAAGGACCAATTTGGTATGCCACCCCAAAAATGTCTTTGGCCCCATCTGGCCACCCCTATCAAACATTTCTGGAGGCGCCCCTGTGTGTAACAAGTGTTTTCCCTTTCGATGAGTCATGTGTAAAGCAGGTTGTGCTTGCAGTTCGGCAGGCCTGGTTAGAGGAGTCGGTGCATCAGTTACATGTTGTATTGTGTCAGACGTACAAGGAAATGTGTGAAACAGTCGTGAAAAACTACAACATGCCAGATGTGTAAAATTTAATTAGAAGTTTGAAATTTAAAAATCACAATTTTATTACAGCAACATAAATATAAAATACACCAAACGGTTATATTGTTCCGTCTAACTAAAACAGAGCTGCTGGTGTTCCATTACACACGTAATGTTACCTTTTTTGTTTTGCTAAGCACATCCTTACATCCACCACCTCGAACACCTTCAAGGACCAAAAACACACGGGTGTACGTGGCTGCTCAGTGCAGGACGGGGAGAGCAGCAAATCCTCCATGTCTGCAGCCATCAGGCTTTTAAAGCCCAATCTCAATACTCGCCCTGCGCCCTGCGGACTTCAGCAAAGTGCACTTGGAGAAAGTGCGCAGTAGGGTTTGAGTGCGTAGTACACAAGTGTGCACATAACTGCAGAATTGAGACAGGACCATTGCATCATCGATCGCAACGCATGCCGGGATGCTGGTCACTGTGATACTCTTTTCAAAAACCTTTATTAACAACTTTTAAACAAACAGCCAAACAGTTGTTGGAAATAAATTTGCATTTATTGCTGCTTTGTCTAAAAGTTTTAGAGCATTAACTGATTGTCCTAAAATTAACTGACTTCATTAGAAAATACATATTTTCAGAAAATAAACTTGAGCCTTTTCTCCTGCAGCAATGACTTGTGGTTAATCCCCTTGCTCGAGGTCCGAATCACTGCGGACTTGGGTTAAGTGCAGATTAAGGGTGCAATGGGGGCGTGGCCAACTTCTGCACTTGAGATTCGGGACACCCTACGCACTCGCACCCTTGGCCGGGAACGCGCAAGTGAAGGGGGCAAGTGAGAATATTGAGATTGGGCCTAAATCTCCTGCACGTGCTGGAGCAGCTGCCATTTTCCATCAGGATCATTAAAGTTCATCATCATTTATCCTTACAAGCAAAATGTAAATGAGCAAAGAACTTGTTGGACCTCTTTGGACATCATTTGTTTAAAACCCAGCTGGATTATGGATGGTCCTTGTAGGCCATGGAGTGTGTGTGTGTGTGGTGGTGGTGGGTGGGTGGGGGGGAATTGGGTTGGGTACAGTTGTCCCGGGAGTTGACGTCACTTCTCCCGGCATGCATCAGTTCAAATCGAAACGGCACCATATTGGCAGGCAGAAGCCGGCAGCTGGACTATTTGTTATTGTCAGAAAACTCAATCAAACAGGAAATATGGTAGATTCCTGTTGTGCCCCAGGATGCAGAACAGACACGGACGACATAAGGAATGAGTCGTCTACAGGATTCCCCAAGATCCGGAGCGCCGCAAACGTTGGATCGTTGTAAAAAAACGCGCTAGTGACCGGGCTAAAATGAAACTGTGGGATCTCGAGTGTAAAGGTTTTCACTTATGCAGCGACCGCTTCATATCAGGTACTTAAACCAACGTTTCCTCAGCTGTGTATGGTATTTATTTTAAATGCTTTTATTACGATTCTTAGTGGGCTTCCTAAACTTATTTTGGCGTGGCTTTTTCTGTCTTATTACTCATAGCAACAAGTAAACGTCACGTAAAACGTTGCCTCGTGAGTTCTGCGTGCTGCCGTTTACGTGTTTTATGATCACAGCAATTAACCGGCTAAGCTGTATTTAACTGTTAAGCAATGGTTGATCATTTGTCAGATCACACATAAAAAGCACTTTGGATTGCTATCATCTGTCTCACCGAGACAGATCTCAGACAGATCCTGAGACGCTCCTGCCTGACATTTTTATTTTATTCACGGAAAAAAATCAGACTAGTGATTTCTCTTGGTGTTCAGTTTATACATTCAAACAGCACAGCACTCTATTTAAACTACTTACATGTAAATCTATGTTATTTGTCCATCCATCCATCCATCCATCCATCCATCCATCCATTCATCCTTCCATCCATTTTCATCTGCTTATCCGGAGTCGGGTCGCGGGGGCAGTAGCCTAAGTCGAGAGGCCCTGACTTCCCTCTCCCCAGCCACCTGGGCCAGCTCCTCCGGGTAAATCCCAAGGTGTTCCCCGGCCAGGTCCAGTAAGAAGTCCAGCTTCTGGCATTTTTAAAAAGTATCCCAGGGGCACGGTAAGGGTCGGAGATGTTTAGTCTATTTAATTTCTGACTATATAAAACGATTTCTTTGGTTTTAAAGTGTGAAGTAAACTCCGACGAAGTAAAATCCAAGCCGATCCCGTTCATTTTGTTTACCTTTGTTGCCTGCCAACATGGCGTCTACTCTCTGAGAGTCACGTGACGTCCGGAGCTCTATAGCGGGTAGTCATGTTTGAGTTAGTTTGTCCTATTTTTAGGTGTTTGTGCATGTTTGTTTTGGTGAGTTGTGTAAATTATTATTGGTCATAATTAATATGTTTTAATTGCTTTAAATTTAAATTCAAATTAATTAATGGTTTCAATTAAAATCATATTGCTCTAAACTTTAAATTTCACTAAATTATTACAATTTAAGAGGGATTACATTTTAATCTCTCTTTTAAACTGTTAATTTTCACACTAAACCAAGCTTAAAGCTAAGCCTGTTGCACCAAACCTTTAAACTTTGATCTAGGAATAACTTTAAACCAGCTAACGAGGATGCTTAACTAGTAATGGCTGTATTTTTAGTTATCTATAGCCAAATGATTCTTCCAAGAAAACGGATCAACAGGCTCAGTCCACCTGAATGAAATGATTAAGGTGAATTTCTGCTCATTGTCTGGTTCACCACATCAATTTTAGAGCTTTTAATTCAGTAAACGTTGCATTGTGAAGCCATTAAAACCAGTTGCTGCCTCCTGCTCTCACCACCGATCATGAGGCGAGACTGGTTTTTATTTACACACCAGCGCCCCGATTAACGGTGGTTAACGGTCGGTGACGCTTCGGTCCTGCGTGCCTTTGATAAAAAAAGAAAAAAGTCAGCCGCACGTCATAGTTTCATTTCGAACCTCCGGGTCGTTCATATGGTAACCATGGAAACACTCCTGCTGCAGCCCATTGACGTCTCCGGGGTCAGCGTCAGCGTGCACGCGCACGTAACATAAAGGAACGACGCCGCTCACGTACCACGTGACTCCCGCGCACGCTCAGCGCCGCCTATAAAAGGAGCGTTTCTGACGTCAGCAAAGCTCAGAACCTATAGACCTCGGACCCGAGAGCACGTCACTCACTTTGTCTAGAAGAGAGAAGCTTGTTTTTGGACTCCCGCAAGAAGAAGTGAAATGGCAAAATCCACACAGGAATGTTTGGATGATTCTACTTTCAGAATTGAGGAAGGTATGTCTGTTGCAAGCAGATTCAATGTTTACCAAATCCAAAAAGTAACACATTACAGGAAGTTCAGCCAGATTGCTGAGTGCCGAAATGAGAGAACAGGTGAAATTTTGGCAATAAAATTTGTCAAAAAGAAGTTTTATTCCCAAAATAGGAGAGAGGTGAGGATACTGAAGCAACTGAAAAGTTTAGGTCTCCACCAACGCCACATTGTCAACTTTTCTGAGTGTTTTTCGTACCAAGACAGGACCTGCTTTGCCTATGAGAAGCTGGATTCAACCTTTCAGGAATTAGTTTTAGCAGCAAATGGGAGACCTGTTCACCTTATTGAGATCAGAGCTATTGCATATCAAATGTTCGTTGCTTTAGCAGCTCTGCACCACGCTGGATTCACTCACGCTAATATAAAGCCAGAAAATATAATGAATATGGATGAAGTTCCATATCAGTGTGGTGTCAAAC